CACGCAAAAGATCTTCAAAAGTGTATTATTTAATGAAACCGATTTTTCAGCTTCTTTTATCACTATAAAAGCTAATAAAATAATCTGTGTTGTGATGGTCAGCTTTGTTTGTGTACGGCTTAAGTCATATACATATGTAGTTTTGAGAGTCACTTTGTTTGTCTTATCTTATCTCTAAAACAAAAGATGAAAAGATAAAGCCACGCTTGTGTAAAAGAACTTTGGTTAGCTGATTTATCTTAGTCAGCAATACTATCTGTTTTTTTTTGGAAGTAAGTATATCCTACGCCCACGCGGTATATGGAAAACTTTTAAGCATGTGCATTTAGTTGGTCAGAGTCTCTCAAATAAATCAGATCGTTCTTGGAGTAAATAAAATCGTACACTTAAAACACGTGATAATTTTTGCACATGCCAAATAAATATAAAAAGGCAATTTTATTCAAAGTGCGTTACAAAAATATTAAGTGCATAATAGAAAACCGATCAAGAGACGTAGGAAGAACCTAACTTGGCAAAACATATATATGTGCAGGTAAAATTTGTCACGAAAAATATCAATACATGTGACTGAAATAAAACATAAAGTTTCAGGATTTGTGGTTGGATTTAAATCCACCAATTAATGAAACTGCACCTTCTGACGAAGCACCACAAAATAATTTAGCTGCTAAGCTGGCCAAGCTACGTTCAACCTGATCAACTAAAAACTCACAGCAGCGCAGCGTAAAGGAAATAACTTGGATGAGAATTAAAACTATATATACTGGACGAATAAACAACGAAAAGAGCATGCTACCACAGATATTTTTTTAATTAATAATTTTTTATATTTATATAACCTAACCTTAACCATTAAAGTTACAGCCACTCAGCTACAGGCCTGCATGCACACGTGGATTTAAAAAGGTAACAAGTAAAAACATAACAAAAAAATAAATAAAATTTAATAAGATTATTATGCATATATATATTTAAGGAAATTAAAAAAAAAATGTTATGGTAGTCAAGTAAAAAAAAAAGAAAAGTCAATTTCTATAGTTTTATAGTCTTGTCCAATGGAAAATTATATAATCAAATTAATAATTTAAATATTATTCAACCCTTCAATAAGTTAAGAATTCATATATTAGGATAAGCCTTCTCTCAAGAAATTAAAAATGTAGTATGAAAAAATGAAGTATTTGTTAATAATTAGAAAAGAGATAAGATATTGAAATGAACTTGATTATTTTTATATACATATTTATTGCTATTAAGAACAAGAATTATATCTGAATATTAACATGGAGAAACTGAACTAATTTAATATAATGGGGTACTAAAAGAAAAACAAACACCCATCAAATCCGGGTCTTGACACTTCAAAAAATTCATTTTTTTCAAACTTTTTGATATAATAGTACAAAGTTTCAGGAATGTTGTCTGAAAATTTTAAGTCGATCGAAGCAAAACTGTAGGAATGGGAGAAATTTAAAGCCCAGGCGTCGAACGTCACAACGGGCCATTCGGGCTCTGGCGTCGGACAGATGCGGCACTTTAAACGCGTTATTCTCAAAACCACTTTTTTGAAGTCGGTAGTCACGATTTCTCAAAAACTATTGCACCGATCAACTTCTGCTTTTGCACACTTCTTTAAGACATAATTCTCTTGTCCTTAACGAAGGGATTTTTTAAATTTTTAATTACAACTCATTTTATAAGCCAAAACATGGCCAAAATTTACGTAAAAAATGACACTTTTTATGAAAATAGCTACAAAAAATTCAATTTTAAATTTAAAAAAAAAATGGCTCGTAGAGGACAAGCGAGACACATACACTATCAGAATAAATTTGGTTTTTTGATTTCAGATAAAAATTGACGGAGATATTTTGCCTACCGCAAGGACACAATTTTTTATGAGGTCAAGTTCAATCCTGCCTCAACGGCTCAATTTTAAAAAATGTTGGTTCAAATTTTTACACAATGTTGGTCAAACCATAAACATTAATGTACAATAAATGAAATTTGTGAAATTATCGTAAGATCTTTTAAAAAATGTATGGAAAATAGGCTTTTTTTCGTGCTCCAAGACCCGGATAACCCCTTAAATCGTTTCTACAATAATTATGCATTAATACTCAAGACCTGAAAACTAAGTTCGAGAAATTATAGCATAGCTGAACAAGCCAATGCAGATGTAGCAAGTGATCAACGTATTCATGATGCCAAATTTGCTGAGAATGCTCCAAAGACCAAATCAATATTTCAGACCAAGCACAAAAATCTTCAGGGCCGCAGAAAGCGTGTCCTCATATTAGGAGCCTGGGGATACAGCTGGTCTGATCCAGTTTCCTTAAGTTTTCTTCCTGGCACACAGTCGTATTTCCGATGGAGAGACATTTTCCCAATACTGCATAGGTTTCCTGGGGGTCCATCCAGCACCACTTGTTTGCCCTCCGTAATCGTGGAGGGGAGCAACCTCGTTAACTTTTTCCCGAGCCTCCTCCAGGCTCACCACCTTGTCACTAACTTTCTTTACATCATTTTTAACATCGGCCTTCTCGCCAAGCTACAGGGCCAGAGTAGCCTCAAATTTAGTCAGAGCTGCCGTCATTTCCTCCATACTAACAAATCGATTCAAACTGATGGGAGTCTTTTAAATAGTTTAAAATAGTTATAAGCAGAGCGGAATCAATCACCATTAGGAGTGGCAAGCGGGAGCGGCAATAGAAAGTAGTTACTGTCCTCGAGTGGGGTTCGCAAATTCGACAGCTGTGCTTCAGCAGTGGTAGTGTTACATGTTCCCACATGTGGACTCAGTCAGCCTGCAGTGTGACGTCGAAGACTGAATTGGAAGCGAAAGTTCTTCGTCAGAAACAAAGCTATCGAATCGGCAGTCAAGGAAAAAAATTAAGGGCAAGAATTATTTATAGAGTAAACATTTAAGGTGTCAGATCATTTAAACAATTAAAAGAGCGAATAGGGAACACGTCAACAATATCCGTAATCTCAAATTTGAATTTTTATAGAATTATTGTATATTGTAAAATCTGACGCCACGTAAAGTACTTGTTACATTTTAAAGGCTCCAATTCAGTTCAGTGAAAAAGACAAGAGATCAACGCTACCAGATTATATTTAACTAATAAGCAGCTAACCTCTATTTCGCCAAGCATTGTAAAGCAGCGCTTAACTCATTATACCCGTTACTCGTAGAGTAAAAGGGTATATTGTATTCGTGCGAAAGTATGTAACAGCTAGAAGGAAGCGTTTCCGACCCTATAAAGTATATATATTCTTGATCAGGGTCACTAGCCGAGTCGATATAGCCATGTCCGTCTGTCCGTCTGTCTGTCTGTCCGTATGAACGCTGAGATCTCGGAAACTATAAAAGCTAGAAGATTGGCATTTTGCATGCAGATTCTTGGAGTTCCTACGCAGCGCAAGTTTGTTTCAAAAAGGTGCCACGCCCCCTTTAACGCCCACAATCGCTTATATACGATTTTAAAAATTTAAATATTTCGGAAAAGTAAAAATGCAGTTTTATTGTGTTTATCAATACCTATCGAAATGTAGAAGAAATTTTTCAAATCGGACCATTCGTTAAAAAGTTATGCGTGATCAAAGTTTCTATCTCCATCTCCGTCGCACTCCCTCGCACTCCCTTTACCTGAGTAACGGGTACCTGATAGTCGGGGCACCCGACTATAGCGTTCTCTCTTGTTTTATTTCAAGTTATTTTACAAAAATCCATGTGAATCCAGCTGATCTGAAACGGAAAGTGCGAGATTCAGATGTCCCCTCTGCCTCGCCTTCGACGCTGTTGACCCTCAGAAAGGAATCTAACGCCTATTTAAGGGGTTATCCGGGTCTTGACACTTCAAAAAATTCATTTTTTTCAAACTTTTTTATATAATAGTACAAAGTTTCAGGAATGTTGTCTAAAAATTTCAAGTCGATCGAAGCAAAACTGTAGGAATGGGAGAAATTTAAAGCCCAGCGCGTCGAACGTCACAACGGGCAATTCGGGCTCTGGCGTTGGGCAGATGCGGCACTTTAAACGCGTTTTTCTCAAAACCACTTTTTTGAAGTCGGTAGTCATGATTTCTCAAAAACTATTGCACCGATCAACTTCTGCTTTTGCACACTTCTTTTAGACATAATTCTCTTGTCCCTTACGGAGGGATTTTTTAAATTTTTAATTACAACTCATTTTATAAGCCAAAATATGGCCAAAATGTACGTAAAAAGTGGCACTTTATATGAAAAGCGCTACAAAAAATTCAATTTTTAATTTTAAAAAAAATGGCTCGTAGAGGACAAGCGAGACACATTCACTATCAGAATAATTTTGGTTTTTTGATTTCAGATAAAAATTGGCGGAGATATTTTGCCTACCGCAAGAACACAATTTTTTATGAGCTCAAGTTATAGCCTGCCACAACGGCTCAATTTTAAACATTTTTGGTTCAAATTTTTACACAATGTTGGTCAAACCATAAACATTAATGTACAATAAATGAAATTTGTGAAATTGTCGTAAGATCTTTAAGAAAAATTCACGAAAAAAGGCTTTTTTCGTGCTCCAAGACCCGGATAACCCCTTAAGGGTTAACACACCAAATTCAATGCATTGCAAAGTGTTAACAAGGTTGGGCGGGTAATATAGAGCACTTACACCAAGCTCATAAAAAAAATAAAACAATACGCATAAACATAACTAAAATTGTAACATCTGGTTAGGTTAGCACATTCTCTTGTAATTTCGTTAGCTAGTTTTGATAAAAGATCCCCCCCAATCGAAGGTTTATCACTAAGGTAGCCGTACTGAAAATGGATGACACGTGAATCTAATTTTAAAAGCAAAGAAATTTAGGTAACTGAAGGGATGATTCCGAAATGCTAAAAATGATCATGTTAGAAAAAAATAAACAGCGAGGTAAAAGCGAAAATTTCATTCCTATGGCAGGTATAGTATGTAACCGTCAAATCGGACGTTTCACTAATTGACTTACCTGTGATGGTATTGGTAATTCCGAGCAACAAATTTTTTTTATTGCAGAATATCGATCTTCTCTACTGTTATGACAAATACAGACGACTATTTGTGCATCCATAGCTATATTTCGTCGCAATGCTTGAATATACGCATCGATTCGATCACGGTCTAAAGAAATCATTGTTGGTTTAGAAACTTTCATGCCCAGAGACTTACAACATTGTTTCATATGATCAAGTAGATTCGTTGCAGCCCGTATATCAATTCTCAAATGTATTATTACCCAGTTATTCAGGTTAACAACCTGCAACATTTCATTGCTTACAGCAAACTTGGAAAACTCTGCATTTTTTCCGGCTGACACTGTCGTTTTTGAAAAATAAATTTGTTCCGTGTCCATTTGACGTCCTTTAAGCTTGTTGAAATTTTTGCCAAGTGAAAGACCCCAACTGTTCAGAATATCTTGAGCCGCTGGAGTTTTCGAAACATTGTCGTAGAATTTATTTAACGACAGCTGTCGTTGATTTGGAGAAACTCTTGTAAATGTAGCGATCTCACGCATAAGTTTGTTATCTGATCTAATTTCATCTCGGAGTCCAGTAAGATAACACAATTCAGGAATTAAACAGAATTGTACATTTTCGTTAAAGTCAGGGTTCGATCTTGTTTTTTTTATACTAAGAAGCAGTGGTTGATTTATATCTTTAATGTTGATATTGTGGTATTGTTTGTAATATTCCAGATAACTTGTGGATCCAGTTCTCGCTTGAAACTCGGACTTCGGACTTTGATCGAAGCAAATCTCATTTATTTTATAGGTACGATTGTTATATCTTGTTAGAACTATATTTCCAACCAATGTCTTTTTGACGGTATCTTGATAATTGTCTACGTTTTGCTGGTATATATCAACAAGCATATCTAAAACGGTTTTTTGACAAAGTATACGATGAGAAACGTCGCAACAAAGCATTAAACCACCTTCGTATTCATCAACAGCTGTTACATAGCCTGGCCAAACTTCTAGCTTTGCCAATGGTATAATTTTCGGACGCGACGGATCAAACTGTTTGCGCTCAAATCTTACATAATTTAATGTTTTCATGACTCGATCAAACAAAACATTATATAAATGAATGCAATTCTTAAGAGACTCCTTTTTTTTGAACAAAATACGAATCTGCAACTCCATATCTTTCACTTTGGAAACAAAAACTGTCAGCTGATTTTCTAACAAGATTGGTAAATATAAGGTAATACCGTCAAATGTTTTGGTTCCTCCGAGTTTGTCTTTATGATCGTTTAAATATTTCATTCTTAAATGAACCGAATCAACGGGAGGAAGAAACCGCACTTCGTAATGGAAGATTCCTTTTGATTGATCCGTCGAAAGTTCTAAGTAATTACAAGATAAATTTACAGAGGAACCTGAAAAAATTGATTTATTAAAAATCTTGTATGCAGATAAGAATAAAAAATAATAAAGCTTTAGAAAGTTTAATTTGCGTGATTCCACTGCAAATGAACATTATAATCAAACATGTGATTGCTACACTACTACAGCAGCTTTTTTTTTCCATGTGGGAATTTAATAAAGTTAAAAAAAAATCCACCCAAAACTAGAAAGGAAGCTAGTTAAATTCGGGTTTTTTGCTATCTCACTCTTATTCTCTTTTTGATGCTCGCGCACTTATTGCACGAGTTCGGTCGTTCAGTCGCAGAGAGGCGCATTCATGATACATAAGGTAGTCTCGTCGGCTGTCTAACCGTTAGGGTTTTGGTCAGTGCGTGTTCGTTTTTTGAAGGAAAAGGTTGTGTGCGGACGAAATTTTTACAGAACTAACTTGAGCAACATGTCTTTTTGCAATGTGTGTTGCACCGAAATGTTTTGAAAAAAGAGCGCTGTGGGAGGAATCGCTGGGATGCAAACTTGGCGATTATTCCAAAATTTGCGAAAGGCATTTTAGGTCCGCTCAGTGGAAGTTGTCACCACAAAGTGTCAGACTTTTAAGAAAAGCCTGAACTCAATATTCCAAAATTAGGCTTTGCCGATTTAACCACGCAAACAGAGTAAATTGAACATGTAATAATAAGGAAATAAATTAATTAATCTATTTTTATTACAGGAACAATATAATACGTTCCACATTGTTTATTGAGAACAAAAGCCTTAGGAAAAGGATTCGTGAGATGGAGAAGGAAAATCGTTCATTATGCAAGCAGCTAGAGGAATATAAGGAGTTGGAAATGTCTTTAGGCCAAATTTTCACGGAGACTCAAATAAAAATATTAAAAAATGGAGGAAAGCGACCCACATTTAATGCTACAGACATTTCTGCTGCGTTTTGTCTGCAAACAGCGTGAATATAACCATTTATACAAAAAGTATATCCTTTGCCCGCCGAGCCATGTAATATAGATGGTTAGCAGAAGTTCCTATTAAAACGGGTACACAAGACCTTGTGATTGATCTAATGGACAACAAAGAAATGCTTGAAGTGGATAAGCTATGCGTTTTGTCTTTCGATGAGATGAAGATTACTGCTGGCTTCAAATATGAGAGCTCTGCGGATGTCGTTTTTAAGCCAAGTAATTACGTTCAAATGGCCATAGTTCGTGGGTTGAAAAAATCTTGGAAACAGCCTGTATTCTTTGACTTCGATACTCAAATGAAAGTGGATATTTTGAATGACATCGTTAAGAAGCTGAACAAAAGGAGTTATGTAGATGAAGTGTCTCACGGGAGACTGATGAAACCGTCTGTCCAGTTCGTGGAAAAAATAAAACCATTAAAACATATTTTTGTACACTACATTGACGAAAGTTTTAAAATAACAAAGAATGTTAAAGAAACTTTAATAATCGAAAATGTTAGTATAAGTTTGGACATAAAAAACTTTTATTTTAAGATTAGAATATATTGTAGAAATAATAATCTTAACAAAAGATTTAACATTCAAAAACAATAACAATGCCTAATTTCAAATTCAAAATTATTAAAAATTAAATTAAAAAAAGTAAGGTTTGTAAAGTTTGTTTGTAAAGTGAAAATTCTTTATTTATTTTCCGGTATCAATTTTATCCCCTTCAATGTAATCCCCTTCCGATAAAAAAAATTATGCCAACGTTTTTTCAAATCCTCGAAACAGGCCAAATAGTCCCTTTCCGGTATAGTCATAAGCGCCCTCGTCGATTCCGCTTTTATCTCTTCAATCGACTCAAAACGCGTGCCCCAGAGTGGTCTCTTGAGTTTTGGGAATAGCCAGAAGTCACACGGAGCCAAATCAGGAGAATACGGTGGTTGCGGAACGTGTGCGTCGAATTCTTGGCGATTTGGTCACGAAGAACGTGTGCAGAAATTGAGCGTTTTCGGTACCAATCGAGATTTGACTTTTCGTAGGCCCAAATGGTCTTTCAAAATGGTTTTCACAGATCCTTCTGATATTCAGATCAGTAAGGGGTCTAACAGTCAACCGACGATTTTTGAGCACAAATTCCTTCACTCCATTGACGTGTTGGTCATCTGTTGACGTCGATGGTAGTCCGGAGCGCTCTAAGTCATCAGCATGTTCCCGACCCTCATTGTAGTCTTTGTACCATTTATAAACATTTTTCTGGGACATGGTAGAATCACCAAAGGCCTTCCGCAACATCCTCTATGTTTCCGCAGCCAAAATTTCATTCCGCAAACAAAATTTGATGGCACTTCTCTGCTCAATTAAATCAGACATTGTAAAAATCGACAAATACACTCTTGATCGTTTGGTAAACACAAGCTGACATTGACATGAAATTACCGCCAGATGTCATCAACAGTCCTGCCAACTCACGAAAAAAAGAAATAATCCGCCATCTTAAGCCCGCGAATTTTAAATTGAAAATTCACCTTACTTTTTGCTCACAGTAGTAAAATAAACTCCATTTATTATGAAAGGCAAAAGAAACCCCCTGAACCATCTAAGGGTTAGTCCACACATTCTATTGTCGCTCTGCTCGCACTTACTAAACAGTTCCCATTTCTCTCGCACTCATTGTAATGATAGTAGAAGTACCAGATTTCGCCGACGAGACTACCTTATGTTACTGTATCATGTACGGGAGCACCAAAATGAGAATTAGAATGAGAGCGCAAAAAACCCAAACGCACACGAAGTGTCCGGGTCTGCTGCTAAGAGCCCTAAGGTCTGTGGTGCACACAGTTCCTGTTGATATTTACAAAAACTTGTTGCGCATGTCACACACACTTCTAATCGAACTGAAATATAACCTTATCCCCTGCATGGTAGTTTAATAAGTTTCGATTCCATAGAAATAAAATGTCGAGCTGAGTTTTTAGATAGCCAAAAAAAAAGGAAATTTGGCGTCTTACAAAAATAATTAACGGGAGTACAACCTATCTTACAAGGGTAATTTGCTGTTCCTTGGGCCTAGAACATCTTTCCGACTGCGATTTTTAGCCTAGCAGAGGCAACCGAGCGAGTCCCAGGTTGCGGATAGCGAACGGCTCATGGCGAATCCCCTGTAATAAGCAGTCCCGGAAAGCCACAGGGTAACTATATGCGATTTGTTCAGCCACATCTAAATAGTTGCTCTACACAAATCTCTGCACAATTCTCCACACAAAAATCCTATTAACTCCGTTCTCGACCACATTACCTCTCACCTCTCTATGGTTTAAATCGGACAGAGCCGAGAGTCACTCCGGTTAAGATCCCTGGTCAGTCTCTAGCGGTGTTCGCTTGCCAAGTGGACCTTTTCTCTTGTGGAACACAAAAATAATTAAAATCGAACAGTGGCTGAAAGCCGCTTTAGGAAGAGCGAGCTCAACCTGTATTGGCACTAAAACTGGGGATGCCTGGTGGTGAACTCTGCAAAGTGCGCGTCAATGCCAAAACCTGCAGTAGATGTAATTAAGATTGTCCGCCCATCTTCCGTGAAAAGCAAGTTTACAAATGCTGACAAAGCGGCAAACTATCCGACGAAATTTATGAACCCTATCCCCCGGTTTCTTATTGCTTTAACTTCATTTCAATCAATAATTCTTGAGATACCAAAGTTTCCAGTTTTTATTTTAGCACGTTGAAGTTTTGAAAACTCGTTTCCATTGTTTTTTGTGCACCGAAAAACTAAACTGAAAACTTTTTTATTCTACCGTTCTCTACTGATACCGATATTAACATTTAACAAGAAAAGCTAACTTCGGGCGGAGCCGAAGTTGATATACCCTTGCAGAAATTTCAGTAAGTTATGGTATTTCCAATCGTTCAGTTATATGGCAGCTATAGGATATAGTGGGCCGATTTGGTAGGTCGGATTGATAGGAAAATCACAACTTTCTAACTTTACAAACACCAAAGTTATGGCATTTCCGATCAATCAGTTATATAGCGGCTATAGGATATAGTCGCCCGATCCTTATGAAATTTGGTAGGTCGGATTGATTTGCCAAATATAAAAACCATAAAAAATCCCAACTTCCTAACTGTAAAAACACTAAAGTTATGGCATTTCCGATCGTTCAGTTATATGGCAACTATAGGATATAGTCGGCTGATCCTTATAAAATTTGGTAGGTCGGATATGGCAGCTATAGGATATAGTCGGCCGATCTCGGCCGTTCCGACTTATATACTGCAAGTTTCAATTCGATATCTTTAAAACTGAGAGACTAGTTCGCGTAGAAACAGACAGACGGACATGCTTATATCAACTCAGGACACGATCCCGATCAAGAATATATATATTTTATAGGGTCGGAGATGTCTCCCTCAGTGCTTTGCACACTTTTGATCAAAATTATAATACCCTCTGCAAGCGTATAAAAATGAAGTAGCACTGTTTTCGTATGTGATAAAGATTCGAAGATTGTCTTTTTTGTCAAAAAAATGTGTAATACAACAACAAAATACATGGAAAAAAGAATAAATAAGTACTGTTTTAATTTTTATAATACTATTCAATAGCCCAACAAATAAAAAAGAAAAATCCACGAAATTTTACGTATTTTTGTTTTGTATTTCTAATTAAATTTGTTCATTTCAATAAACAAATCAAAACAAGATAAAAAGCTAAGATAGCTCATGCAAATCATATTTTAACATTGAAGTAATATAATTTCAAGTTAATCCACTTGGCACAAAAAAGATAATCCAACCTACCAAGTCGGGGTTATTAATCTCACCACGAGATTATAAATAAAGACAGTTCCAAGCATCGTTCTACGGCTAGCTGCGATCCTAGTCCAGGCGCCGTAAAGCAAGAATTAGAAAGTTTTTATGTACTGATTTACTGCTGTAAATATGTATTTCGTATTGTGGACTTCCGAAAAGTTTTAGTGACATCGAATTTTTTTTGACTTCATTTATATATATCCGTGGACGATATATGTATGATAAGAAAAGTTTAGTTTTGCAAGTTATCTACATATA